AACTTGGTCTTCTGGTGAACATCAGAAAACTATTTAAAGCCGAGTTGCATACTTCGATCGGTAAAGTGGCAGATAACCCTCCAAACTGGAAAGCGTCTCATGAACCGTGTTGGGTGGTACTGACTGCTGTCCCCACCTATCTCATGACTGCAATGGATCTCCCCAAATTGGTGATTAGAACCATCGACAAGAGATGGAAGGTTTTCTATGGACTGCACAGGAGAAGGCAAATGGTGGCAATTGTCTTTCTCTTGGGAACAAGTGAATCGGCCACCCCAAAGATAGGGGTCTTGGACTCTTGGTATTCATAACCTTGAGGTCCTGGGCTGGTCTCTTCGCATACGGTGGCTTTGGTTGGAGAAAACTGATGCTTCGCGACCATGGGCAGGTTTGCCCATTCAAGTGTTGTGCAATGTCCAAGCTTTATTCAACGTGGACATGGAATTAATTGTTGGTAATGATGAATCCACCCTGTTCTGGTCAGATAGATAGACGGCAGAAAAATCTCTGAATTAGCCCCAAATCTCATAAAAAAGATCCCCAAAAGAACCATCAAATGGTGCACTGTGGCTCAGGCTTTAGATAATGGCAGTTGTGTTGGTAATATCAAAGGGGTGCTCACTGTTCTTATCCTTAGAGAACACCTATTTATCTGGGATTTGGTGGATGGCTTGAACCTGCAGCAAGGCATAGAGGATCAACATCGATGGAGGCTTTAAAGGGTACCACAGAAGCTAAAAGGCAAGTTTTATAGGATGACGATTAGACCTGCTATGTTGTATGGTGCAAAATGGTGGCCTACGAAAAGACGACATGTTCAACAGATAAATGTCGCGGAAATGCGTATGTTGCGTTGGATTTGCGGTCATACAAGAAGGGATCGAGTTCGGAACGATGATATACGTGATAGATTAGGGGTAGCACAAATTGAAGAAAAGCTTGTCCAACACCGGTTGAGATGGTTTGGACATATCCAACGGAGACCTCCAGAGGCACCGGTGCGTAGTGGAATCCTAAGCCAGGATAGTAACGTGAAGAGAGGGGAAGACCGAAGTTGACTTGGGTAGAGGCAATAAAAGGAGACTTGAAAGGATGTAATATACCCAAAGACTTAGCCTTAGATAGGAGTGCTTGGAAAACAGCTATTCACGTGCCTGAACCTTGATTGCTTTTGCTGGGTTTCAACTCTAGCCTACCCCAACTTGTTTGGGACTTAAAGGTTTTGTTGTTGTTGTTGTTGTAGCCTACAACGCCTTCTTCCTCAGGACAATCCATTTCGCTCCATGGAAGAGATCAAGAGAATTTGGAAAACTTAGACTCCTTTACACTGCGAGTTCTTCAATTGGCTTGCCATTAATAACCGCTGCTGGACTGCAGACCGCCTCGCTAAGCGAAGGTTGCCACACCACACATTCTAGTCCCCTGTGTCTTTGCCTGGCAAGTATGGTCCTTGATCTTTCAGAGGCCGGGTTTGATTTCCATCTCATCACAGCCCAACGCCAGCTATTTCTCAAGCTGGTGGTGCCGTGCAATCAAGTAGGTGCAAAAGGAAATCAGAAAAGGGCTCAACTCCCTTATTATTCTAGTGACCTAGGAAATTTGGAAAGACAGGAGTGTTTGTATTTTCAATGGCGTAAATCTGGGTGTCATATTAGTGTTGCAGAACGTGGCAACTGGCAAACTAGTCAAAATGGTGTGTCAACAAATGGCATGAAAGGATAGGTCTTAACAAAATTTTGTGGAAAAAAAACACCCCTTCTAGTTTGTGTGAGCAACCTATTCAATGCCAAATGTAGGCACATGGTTTTCAAAAGCCAAGGTAGTATTTTCAGCACTATTACTTAACAGCTGATCACAATGTTTCTAAATCGGCTTATCGTCCCTAATCGGTCTGGTACCGATTAGGACGATCATGACGATTAATCGACCTCTGATCGGTCTAATCGTCCATATAATCGTCCAACATATAGCAGGACTATATATCATATATGTATGGTATATATACCATATACTATATATTTATATAGTAGACATCGAGCATCTAGAGTCTCCTCCACCTCCATTCCTACTTCAGCATTAGATGCATCTGGCTGAACTTGTGCTTCATGGTCATCATCTTCATCATCAATGATATCTGGAGTTGCAGCTGCAGCTGCAGAAGTCCTTGGACGCTTCCTGGTATACATCTGGCTGACAGAGGCTGCTGCACGAGCAGCAGCAGCCCTAGGCAAGTTGCGGCCCTGTAGATTCTCAGATGACGGCTGGAGTGGAAGTGAAGACTGAGGAGAGAAAGAGTGGGGGTGAGGTATATAAGAGAAACCCTAATGGGCCTGGCCCAAATAAATATAGCCCAGTAAACTGAAGCAGCCCACCTGCCTATTTAGTGCTGATCGGCCAAGAGACCTAATCGGATGATTAATCGCGAGTAATCGACGATTAATCGGACGATCAGGTTTCTAATCGCTCGAATCGGAGGGCCTAATCGAGTGCTAAGTACCGATAAGGACGATTAATCACGATTAATCGGACGATCAGAAAACATTGGCTGATCACCATCTGTAAGGGATCTTGGCTAGCAAAGCCTGAATACCAAGATTGAAGGTAGATAAGTGATTGGCATTCAAAGTAGTGGTATAAAGGGATTATCTCTTTCTTCCAGATCAACCCAGAACTTTACAGAAATTTAGGAATAAGAATGGAGTTTCAAAATATTTTAATTGGATTCACACCACATTAACATACCATTCTAGAATTGAGTCTACAAGCCTGATAATGATCCGCAAGAATGATTATGATGTAGCTATAACATTTCTTAGATATCGGGGGTAGTGATTTTTCCTAATGATAATTCCACAGACCAAATTCCGCTCTCTTTGTTCTGAAATATAATAGTTACATTAGAAGGTGCGGTCAAACCTAAAAACTTTGACCAAGAATACACACATATTTTTCGAATTTAGTACATGGAAATAATACTAGTAAATCCATAAAGAAAATTGTAGCATTAATTTTTTTTAGAAATTTTCACAGCAAAATATTTATTAAAACTACTGGAGACTGTGTAACTGTCTTAAATGACAAGTAAAAATTGGTGAGCAACCAATTGTTAACCTATTTAAGTGTAGAAATAATTCTACATTATCACATCGTTTGACTTAAGGTAAAATAGTACTCAGTTCAACGGCCATACCTCACAGGTAATACAATTGCAGTGAACACCTGCAACAATCACCCCCACAATTGCAAGGGTTGTTGCCAACAATAAAATTCTTGGAACATCACAACAAATGTTCTCACGAACCAACGAACTAGACATAGTGGCATCACTCAGATAAGCCTAAACCAGACGACACAGCAGCAGCACAATCCATTTAATTCCTGGAAAAGTCCAATTCGCCCCCTCTCTTTCGGACTCAGTTCAACGGCCTAAACATACGAACGCTAGGAGCAAAAGGGACTACATAAATATGAGGTAGCCGAGATCCAAAGGGACGGGACGGTACTGGCAACGGTGGTGGATTGATTTACCTTGCCCATGCATTTCTCGAGGTGCGGGGCGAAGCGGCCGGCGACGACAGGGCGACCGCAGTTCATACACTCGACGACATCGGCGGCGATGGCGGGGTGCGTCTGGCCGAACACGTCGACCCCGCCCTTGCTCCCGCCCTCCTCGGCGGCCCCGCCTCCACCGGGGTGGTGGTGGTGGTCGCCTCCGGCGGCGGCGGCCGCCGCCGCACGTGCCGCCCAGACGCGGAGCTCCTCCTCCTCGGCGTCGACGCTGCGGTCCAGGCCGAGGCGCGCGATGCGGTGGCACTCCGACGCGACGTCCGCCACGGCGCAGTCGAGGAGCTCCTCGAAGCAACTCAGCGCCAGCTGCCAGCGCCGGGAGGTTTACCGGTCAGATCGCGGATCAAGAGAAATTGGGAGTGAGATCGTGAGAGGGAGGAGGGGAGGCGTACCTGGGATCGAGGGCTCAGGGGAGCGTCCTTGGACGACGACATGCCTTTCGTTTCCTGCTTCCGGCCGTTTCTGACGTACTCCGTGCTCGGCCGCAGCCGCACAGAGACACTCATTCAGGGTAATCCTGTTCTTCGGGCCGGGCTGTTAGGGCCCAATAGTGCCAGATCCACAAGGCCTAGCCCAGGAGAGGCGAGCTCTCCTTACCACAGCCCCCCAACGCCCTAGCGCTCGTCGCTCCGCCTCCCGCACAGCACGAGCACTGAGCCGCCGCCGACGTAGGACGGAGGAGCGCCGCCGCTTGCCGGCCGCCGGCGACGAACCTCTGCTCACGGGACGCCCTAGCAGCCTTTACCCACTGTCCCACACGCTGAAATCACACCGCCTCCACCCGCGCAGGCGCGCACGGTCGCACGTATGAGCGCCGCTGCCCGCTAGCCGCCAGCGACGAATCTCCGCCAGCCGCCATGCCCGTGAGCGTGAGTCTGCGACCAACGTTCGTCCTCCGCCAGACCGCCACGCCCGCGACGGCTGTCCTCCTGCGGTGAGTTCCTTGCCTAGACATAAGTAGATTCTTCAGTAGGTTCTTTCTGTTGCTTCATTTTCTTTTCCCCCCTTCGTGATCTACTTGTTTCGCTCTTCCGTGATTCCATCAACGGCTTCTCCAAATCTGGCTAGGGCTACTGCTAGTGCACGCTGAAGTGCCAGGCCGTCTGTCGTTGCAGGCCAAAACTATTATTCAAAAACTCATTGCTATGCTAGAGTTGAAGCTCATTTGCTCAGGGAGTAAATGTCCAAAGGTTACATATGGAATGCTCAGAGAGATGCTTCCAACCTTGCTTTGGCCAGCGATTGCATTTGCAAGATAATTTACTGCTTTTAGAATTTTAGAATATGAATTATTATTTTTATTAAAAATAGTAAAAGGTATCTGCGTATACCCGTATCTGTCGATACCGATACATGTATCCATATATCTGTCGTTGCTTCTGTGCACAAGAAATATTTTTCTTTCGTGTGCACTACCGCCAGATTAGATTGCCATGCTATGCCAATCACTTGCATCGCCTGGTAATCCTCCTATTGTGTATATAGTCGTGTTGCTTATCTATTGTTCGACATCTAGGTGCATGATGAAAGGGAAAGTCTGCCTTGGGTTATTGATTCTTTGAGGCTGTAGTCTTCCTTGCCTTCAGGGGTGTATATTTTCTCCTTTTTAATCTGTAAACTTTGGCACTTATGGTTTCGCTTTCTTCTAAAATAACGATCCATTTTATGGCTTCCAAAGAAGAAAGATGTTATACACCATTCGTAAATCATTAGGTACTCGTTGAATCTGATTTGTCTCGTTGGTTGCTGATTCCGTACTACAGATGAGTATTGACTGATTGTTTGATCATAACCTATTTCAGAGCAATACATTCGTATTATGAAAAAATGGAAATTTCAAGTGTTCATCATTAGCCAGATAATGTACTTGAAGCTCATAATTTGTTCTGTTTCATGTTAGCGTTGACACTGCCTGCCCCCTGTTTTGATTTTGAAACAGGCTTCTGGATACCATGCCACTATTTAATTAAAAAAAGAAACACTTATCAGAGTTTATGGCCCTGTTCGCTTGATCTTATCAGCCGTACCGTTTCAGCGAAATAACAGTGTTTTTCTCTCACACCAAATCAGCATCAGCATCAGCCGTTTTTCCAACCAGCCGAACAGGGCCATAAACTCTGATCAGCAATTAATAGAAAAAGGCTTAAACTCATTTTGGATCCAATTTTATCTTAATGCTAGTTGCTCCAATTATTTATTTGTTTGGTTTAATTGGGAGATTATGCATGTTTATAGCTTCTGCTCTCAGGTTACGGTTGTTGAATTGGAGTGAATATGTGTGGTACTGTTGACTGTGGAGGATAGCTGAGCATGCTTTCACTATATTTTAATTTCAGTTTTATCATATGCCAAAAGTGTTGGTTTCCTTGTTTTGTCTTGAATCTTTTATTGGCAATTGGAATCTCTGTCTGTAACACACCTTTTTTTCCAGGTAAAATAACTCTAAATTTGTGCACCTTCTTCAGGTGAAAACATGGATTACAACCTTGGTGGCACCTCCCCCGATCCCTACAGTGGCGGTGGTGGAAGCATCCACCTAGTGTGTGATCATTGTGGCACCAGTGACAACTACAACACGGACGACGCTGATGATGGCCAATTCACGTGCCGTACGTGCTCTGCTGTGCACACCACACAGGCAACTGCTGCTGACCCTCATGACTTTCCTGTCACTGGCAACATCTCTGTCCGCCGTGTTGCCACCCAGCCCACCCCCAAGCTTGGTGCCCGCACACCCGTCCCCTACCCGAGGACCCCTCAGGCTGCTCCCGTGCCTGCTGCTGCCGCTTTTGACGACTTCACGGAGCTGAGTGAGCCGCGGGACTTTGCTCCTGGATCTGGAACGTGGGGGGAGCCCGAGGATTTGGCAGTGCGGGTCCGCTGGCGCTATGTATGCGGTCTCCAGGTGATCCTGCAGCGGCAGATGGAGGTGCTGGTGGAGCGGCACCAGGTAGGCGCGTTTGTGTGTGCTGTCGCTGGCATTGTCTGGGTGCGGTGGGTTGCTGCATCCAGGGTGTTTGATGGAATCTGGGCGCGCCAGGTGCTCGAGGACCACAAGGCCGCGGGGAGAGAGAATTGTTCTGGCAGCGGAGGTGAGCCGTTATGCTAGCCCTTGTTAGTCATTGCCATCGGAAGAACTGAACAGACTCTGACATACATCTCTTGTTGCAGATAACAAGAAACCTGATGAGGTGAAGTATGAATCGGATGATGATATGTTGCTGCAACGAAAAGACAGGCGCAAGGTGGAGTTTGCCTTTTTGCGCTCGTTGAGGATGATGCTGCCGGTTTACTCAACGTTGGCTGTTTGTTTCTTGGCCTGTCATATTGCCCGTGAAGCCATCCTGCCAAGCGACATTTATAGGTGGGCAATGGAGGGGAATATCCCTTATGTGGCTGCATTTACCGAAGTAGACAGGTTCCTTGGGAGCTCTTTCCAAGACTGCCCTTTGGATGCAAGGCTGTTCAGGCCGGTGCGAGTTATCGGAGCATGGCAACTGGAAGCTGCAGCTGGATCCATAGCACAAAAAGTTGGCTTGAGGCTTCCTTCAGTTAACTTCTATGCAATTGCTCAACGTTGTTTGAAGGACTTGTTACTGCCTATAGATAGAATCCTCCCCCACGCATGCCGAATTTATGAGTGGGCAATGCCTGCAGAATTATGGTTGTCTAGTAATCCTGCTAGAGTCCCTACACGGGTTTGTGTGATGGCTATCCTAATTGTGGCCCTACGACTTCTTTATAACATCAACGGTCAAGGGATATGGGAGGTGTGTTTGTCACATTGATTACCTTTCTTCAAAACATCTTAGGTCTTTGATAAATGCATATGTCCTGAAGTAACCTTTCTTTGCAGAAGATTTGTGAGGAAGGAAGAAACCCAAGTGAATCTCACCATGATACAAATTCATCAACTTCCAGGAAGCTTGAGGATAGTAACAGTGAGGAGTTTGGCACAAGAGAACTGTTGTGTGCTATTGCAGCTGCCTATGATAAAATCAATACGACACATGGTAAATTTGAATTTCATTGCCTTGTCTACACATTATGTTTATCTCGTAGTACACATGGTAGTTTGTGGCATGCTTATGCTGACTGTCGGTAGTTTATATTCAACTTGCTATACACTATACTAAATGTATGAATTGTTGATTTCATATTTCACGTCTGTTGAATCCTAGACTGTAACATATGTCTTTTTCTGTCAATCATTCTGTGTCTCAAAACTTAACAAAATATGCATAACTGTCCTACACTACATGATTATTACTCTTCTAGTAATACCCTAACATAGAGCAATTAGCTTCAACTTTTGCCATGCACAAACAGGGCAAACTGATGGAGAACATTGAACCACTTTGCCATGTTCTTCAATTAAGACAAAGTTTTACTTTTGTCTTTTTTTTTATTTCTAAAGATGTCGAGTAACTTTGTTTCAGCATTGGAATGGGAAGTGCAAGAATCTTTCTATGGTTTTGAGTTACAGAAAGTAAAACTTTGCAAAGTCAATAAGATGCTATTTCATGAATAAAATAATATGGGATTTTTTTTGTGAAAGATTATTACGAATAAATTACTGACTTCATTGTATTCTAGTCTATATTTGAATTGATATCTTTGATAAAAGTTGTCAAGGGTTGATTGGACATATTCTTGATCTTGGTTGACATTTTGTGTCTGGTGGGAATACTTCTTAATGGTAGGACACTGACTTGAAGTTTTCTTATTTTGCAGACTACTCGAGTGATCTGCGCTCTTATCTCAAATACTGCAAGGAAGTTATTTTTACTGGGATTACATTTCCAGATGAAGAGAATCATCTAATAGAGATCTTTTGGGATATGTACAAAGCTAGAGAGGTACTGCACTTTGATTGGCAATATTGTTAATTCTTACCTATTTTCCTTTTGCACGAGGTGGATAAAATATCGTATATGTAACTGTTAAATTGTGCCCATTATGGATCAATTGCTTTCCCTTATCATACTCTTGCGCAGTTCTTCCTGTCCTTGCTAGGTAATTATGTAAGCTTTAAACGACTTGATAGGAAGGTGTAGCACATCAGGTAAATTTTACGGTAAACTATCTATAGAATACAAATTTAATCTCCATATTTGAAAAAAAGGGAAAAATAACCAGAGAGGAATGGAGTGGGGACTTCTATTTGCAGAACTTTGCGGCACTAGGTTATAAGCACAAATTGAGTTAGACCTTGAACCTTGAAATTTTGTTTGGTGTAGAATCCTGGTTAGATTTTATTATGATAACACCATTCTTGTTGGCTTGCACAAACTTTTTTGAACTGTAAATTATTTCGATGCTTATGGTGTTTCATTGCAGGACGATAATCCGAAAGATCATGTAAAATCCCAGTCTCATTCTGTTGAAGACATTCCAATTACAAATGAAGTGAAGAAGCGCTACCGAGATGGAGCTTTTGTTGAAGCAAGTTTCTTTTCTGCATCTTCAGGTCATGATGCAATGCAAATGCTCAAGTCAGAGATGCAAGATCATGGATTTCATTATATGCCACCTAGGAAACCAAGGAAATCAGATGGTTATCTTCGTTATAGGAGGAAGCGGTTAAGCGGTGGCTTTATTTATGTTGCACATGCTGATTATTACATGTTGCTACGTGCTTTTGCAAAGCTTGCAGAAATTGATATTCGTATCATGCATATTAGTGTGTTAAAACTTGAGAGGAGACTTGCATGTATTGAGGAGCGAATTGAGAGAAGCTTGAACACCTTACAGAACTTTTCTACTGGAACAGGAGATGAGCTAAGATCTGTATCTGACTGAAGTTCCTAGTGTAGTCTCATACTCTGCTAACATGGTAAAGTTTTGGCATCTTGAGAAACATAATTGTCCTTGAGCATTATGCCTCCCAGTACTGCTGTTTTTACGCATACAAGCATTTAGTTTCATGCACTTCTCAATCCAGGAATACAATGTGATTTTTGAGTATTATCTGAATGTGTTTGTGTACTGATGGCACAGAAAGGAATACCCCCTCCATTCCTTTTCTGGAAAAAAGAGTCACATTGTGTAACTGTGGTTTCAAAGGGCTTCTTTCTGTGGCTTCTTGGCATTGGTAAGCAACCTGAGCACAACAAGGGCAGGGCAGGATGTGGATCTTTATTTGCTGAAGCAATATGTACCAAGAATTATGCTCCCCTTCTTTAGAATGGACATAATTATGTCAAGGTCCTAGTCAGTACTGTGGTGGATTCAGCAACAGTTCCAGTAGTAGATCTCACTGCTTGGCAGCAATGATACTTGGGGATCTGCAATCATGAGGCAGTTTCAGTTTGGGAACTGGAGTGGCAAGAGGAAAAAGGCTGGAATGTGAGCTTTAAAAAAAAGGGCGTATCCCGTGCAGAGAGCTCTCGAAGGGTGTCGGTGGCAAGCTTTACCCTTGCTTGTGCAATGCGAGGAGACCGCGACTCAAACCCGGGACCTTCCGGTTAATGGAATCTGGGCTTTCAAAAAAAAAAAAGGGGGGGGCAGGAATCTGGAACACTAGTTGGGTGGGACGAACAGCAAGGAAAATGGGTGAACCTGACAAGGGATTCTTTTTTTTTTTTGGTGACTTAACCCAACAAGGGAATTTAGCAAACCTTTTCTGTTCCCTAGTTATGTTGCAAAATCAATATTCAACATTTAATTTGAAGACCATGGTGTTTACGTGATTTCTCAAAGATTGTTGGTCCAACCATTTTCTGAATCATTGGACAATAATAGTTCACTTGCATGCTTTCAATTGCACAATGATGATTTTGGCTATGAAACTAAAGCCTTGTTTAGATTGCAAATTTTTGCAATCTGGACACTGTAGCACGTTTCGTTTGTATTTGACAAACTTTGTCCGATCATGGACTAACTAGGCTCAAAAGATTCGTCTTGTGATTTACAACCAAATTATGTAATTAGTTATTTTTTTATCTATATTTAATGCTCCATTCATGCGTCCAAAAATTGATGTGACGAAAAGAGAGTGAAAAAACTTAGAATTTGAAGGCAATCTAAACAAGACCTAACTTAAGAGTTTACCGGAAAACGTCACATCGCCCTGAACGCTTATCTTACCATTACACTTTTGCATCTTGGGAAACGGAAACACAAATGTTGTCCTTGATGGATTGCAGAAGTTAGATGCTTTTTCCGTCCTATCTAGTAGCTACTCAGAAGACAATGAACAATGAAATTGTTTGATGGTTCTCCCATTGGGTGCTTTTTTGACCTACTAGGGACAGTTAAACCTGCTATCTTTGTCTGTCAAAGAACTTTTCATTTTTGCTTCCATTTATGACGTTTTCAGGGTTAGTATAATTGGTATTTGTCAAAGCTGCTGACAGAACTAAAAATAAAAATAAAAAAAAGCTGAGGTTGTGGTGGAGTTTGATGCAGGCATGCAGCTCGAGGAACCTGATAGGGATGGCAGCGGGTCGGATCAGTTGCGGGTGGAGTAAATGCCCACCTATGGCAAATTGCATATTGAGAAAAATTGATACCCACACCCATGCCCGCGGTAAAATTTTAAACCTGTACCCTCACATGTTGGGTACCATACCTGTGAGCACCTTCACCCGCGAGTTCTTTGTATTTTTAGCATTAATGGGTGAAGCGACATACCCGTATCTATACCCATGGGAATCTTATACCGTACCCACACCCGCAGGTAGACTTGTCGATGCCTTCTCATCTGTATTTGTTTGCTGCTGACTGAAGTGTTTGCAGCTTGCAATGGAATCACCTTGATGTACCTTCCGACACGGTATAATTGAACATGGTGATTGGGTCGATCTGGTGTGTGACGCTGCCTGAGCCTCTTGGGGCCTGTTTGGTTATCCTGATGTACTTGTGTTTGGCTCCTGGGTTGCAATTTTGGCTCTGTTCACGTGTTTTTAAACCCGACTTGATCCGTTTATTTTTTTCATCTAAAATAGTGTTTTTCTCTCACAAATTCCTCCAAACCATTCAGATTCCTCCAAAATTCAGACAAGCGAACAGGCCCTTTATGATGTTTGGTTCTCTGCACCCGTCGTTGGGTCTAGCCCTGGGCATGCAGCCAAGGCACCGGAGCCTGGCTAAAAAAAACGGATTTAGAATCCGTTTCTCGCAGCCTGGCTCGCACGGACGGTGTCGGATTCATAGACCCGGGGTTCCTCATGGACCGGCTTCCTAGCAAAGGCTCAGCCCAGCAGACGACGTTGCGAATGACGCGCAACTCCTGGGCCGGCCCAAAAACCTAACAACAGGACAGAAGGACGAACCAGCCTCCGACTGGAAGGCCTGGTCAAGGAGGAACGACGCCCGCTTCTAACTATAGCCTGCCTCTCCGATTGGAAGGCCTCGCTTCCGACTTCGGCCCGCCTCTCCGACCGGAAGGCCTGGCCGAGGAGGAACAACGCTCGCTTCCGACTCCGGCCCGCCCCTCCGACCGAAATGCCTGGCAAAAAAGGAACGGCGCTCGCTTCCGACTCTGACCAGCGTCTCCGACCGGGGATTCACCGAACCTCTGCTTACAACTCTTCTCCGACTGGCGCAGTCGGAGCCGACTGGGACCAACCGATCGGGGACACCCGCTCGGTGAGAACCAGGTAACGGGCGAAGCAGGTAAAATAGGACACTCAAGTCAACCGCAATACCGAGGACAGTATCCTGTACACCTACAGTACCGACAGAACATGTCAGAAGGGTGCCCTGCAACCTTTCAGGCATGTCAAAACCCAAGCAGTGCTGTGGGCGCCGACATTTGCCCTACAATATTGTGGGCGCCATCAACTCCCATACCATGACAAGCACGGTAAGGCTCCCCCCATGCTTCTGGACACCAACAGTGTTGTAGGCACCATCATTTGCCCTACATGGAGAAGACGACGCAACCTCCCACATGCATCTGACATCAATAGTATTGTGGGCGCTTACAATCGTCTTGTACCCGATGGTGTGGGCAATAAGACTTAGCAACATACGTACTCTCTCTCTCTCTTGTAAGGTCGTCCCCTTCATCTATAAAAGGGGACGCGCTCTCTCCCAATAGGGGGGATCAATCAGTCCACAACAACTCGAACAACACACACGATCCGAACGACCAAGGATCCCAAGGAACAACAAACGTTCGAACACTTAGCACATAGCGGAGCTCCCGTCACTCTCGGCCCTTCAGACCAGAGTCTGACCGGACCTCTTGTACCCCCATCTTTCTCCCTTCCGTTTGTAACCCCACAGCAAACTTCGAGCACCTGGGCTCAGGAATAAAGTCACCGACCGACTCAAACTGGACGTAGGACACGTTGCCTGAACCAGTATAAACCCTATGTCATTGAGTGCTAGGCCACATCCGATCACAACGTACAGCAAAACTATAAATATTTACGTGTTGGTCACTTTCTGCACTGACAGTTGGCGTCGTCCATGGGGAAGACGCTGTACGTTCACGCTTTTGGTCATTGGATGGCCCACTTTTCTGCCATCTTTGCCATGGCGGGCTCAAGCGATATGACTCGCTTCGGCTCGTTGGAGTTTCCCGCACTCCCACCTATTGGGATGTGGGTTCCACCCATCTTTGAGCCATCCCAGACCTTCCTCTTCGGAAGCCTAGACTTCGTCGCTGACCGGCTCGGCGTACTCCACCTCCACGAGGAGGCACCCATCCCGAAGCCCGTCGGAGGGGCACCCTCCATCGGCTCCGGGACACCCGACGACTTCAACGACGAGGCGCCTGCGCTTCATTCCAAGCAAACGCTCTGCTCAAACCCCGCTGTGAGTAATGTACATGCTGTTATTTACTCGTTATTCACTATCTTCCGCCGATTATCCAGAGGGACCGCATTGTCCGCACCGCAACCACCGTACGACCGATTCCCCTATGGCCTCACGTCCCCTGCGGACGCGCACGCTTGGGGGCTCCGAAGGATGCTGGCGCCGCCCCCTCTCACATCCGAATTCGTGGGAATGGCGAGCTATGCTCCCACCACTTTCCACGAGCTCCTAGATGACGAGGTTGAGAGCGATGGCTCCAGCATCGGCGATGTGGCACCTAGCCATCGTCCGTCCTGGGAGTGCGCTATGGAGGACGCTCCGGGACAGCCACCGGTGGTAATGAAGTCCTTTCAGACTCACACCCCTCCGGACCCTCGTGTGGCGGCCCTCGCTCTCGCACAAGAGCATGGCGAGGAGCTACGACAACGGTGGTAGAACCAGCCACCACCTGCGCCGACGCACTCGGTGTAGCACGTTGTGCCCCATGCGTGTAACCCGGTCAGCGACGCCTGGGGTCGCGCCCGCCAGGTCCAGCGCAACATCATAGACGAGGGGAACGATCCCCCGCAGTTCGCTCAGGCTAGCCAGAACATCGCGGCTGCGGCAATGCTTCTGCGCGGCGTTCCCGAGCCCGTCGACCCCTAGGAGTGGGCGGTCCACCAGAACCTCCAGGCGCTGGTGGAAGCCACCGCCGTTCAACAGGCAGAAAGCTCCGCATCGCGACTCCGACTCGAGGCCTCTCTCCCCACCAGGGGAGTAGGGATGCACCAGATGGATCGCTCCATCCACTCACCGCTATAGCCACCAAGCGCGGTGCAGGAGGCCATAGCTGCGCCACGGTGCGACCTGGCGCCTGCTCCACACCGACCGCTGGTACGTGAACGGCTCGGCCTGAACCAAGATGCTCGCAGCAGCATCAGCAACCGGCATCAGGCCTGATGTGATGATGATGTCCATCGGGCGGCAGTGAGGGTAGGCGACACGGGCCCTGGCCGGACCATTGAGGGGAGCGGCGAAACGCGCCCCAGGCATGG